GAACCAGTCAGTCTCATACCGAGTGGGGGGGTCCAGAACCAGGAAGCAGGGGGTGTCAGACACCATTTTGCCCATTAGAAGCATCCCAGTAAGCTCAGCTAATGCACTTTGAACTGAGGAACTTCAGTATTTTTACCATCCCTGTTGTGGAAAATGTATTTTAACCCTATAATGCCAAATGTATCATATTTGATTCATACGGTTTCTGAATTGTTTTGCGTCTGACACCTTTTGCATAATTTAATGGTAAATTTAATGGTACACAACCAGATACACCTGATAACAGGGGGCAGAAAACTACACAAAAAATAATCTTGACTTTTCGCATAGTAATAAATGATTAATATAAAAAATCTATTTCTGTTTTTTCTTTTTACATATTTTGTTAAAAGGCCAAATAAAGACTTCAAACAAAAAAAAAAGTCATTTTCTGTTTTGTTTTATTCTTGGATCGGGCTTTAAAGCAAAAGTCTGAGTGCATCTGAGGAAATAAGAAATAGAAATGTATTAAAATGGAAAAAAGGGGAAACTTCATGAAGTGAGAGCAGCCATACAAGTGGTTCATATGACGCACCAAACTGCCTAAAAATAAAACAAATCATAGTACATTTTATACCCCTTTGAGCCTGAGAAGAGGGGTAAAATCTGTCTCCCATCATAGAGAAACCTGCACCTATCCCAAACAATCATTAAGAAAACATTAGGAGATAAAGTATAAGGAGACACTCTCTGAGGAGGAATGAGTCCCATGAGAAAGAAAAAGAACCTTTAAAATCTTCAATTGGGGAAAGTTACCAGAGAGAAATTACGAAAGTGATTCTACATATATTGATTTCCCTAACAATCCCACAATGAATGTTTGTCCAGATGGAGGAGAAACACCTGGAGCCGAATAAACCGACGATTCACAGAGACACAAATCAGCCATTTATGGATGTATTTAATTTAATTTGAGCTTTCGGGATCATTTATGGATCATCTGTGTGACATTTCCAGTTAATTTATCCACATCTCTGTGGATTTTTTCATCTTAAATGTTGTCATTTCTGAGCTTCCTCCAACAGAAAGAACAAACGTGATGACACTGAAGACACATTCATTATCTCCAGCCATTTCAAACTTTTAAAAGCCTTTTTTCTTCTGTCATCCCTCTGACGAACAATCAGAGACTCACAATAATGAACCACGTATTTCCTGTCAAAGCGTCTTTAATGCGGTTGGATTTTGGGAGACTTTTGTTGTATCCGACATATTTAAACGCGTCATTTCTATGCGTGCGATGCAGAAAGTGAGTGTCTACTCACATTATGCTGCTTTTATTCCAGATACAAATAAAGGAGAATTCTTCCATCTGCAAAGATGTCACTCAGGTGAAAGCAATCTTAGCAAAAAATAAGAAATCTAATTCCCTTTTTTATGCACCTGTCACGTTTTTTTGTTTGTTTTTTTGCACGGAAAGTAGCATTCGGCTAATTCCACCATTCTCTGACTCTGTCTCCCGAAATGAAAATGTTTGAGGGGAAGGTTGGTTTGTTTTTAGTGTGCTCATTCGAATTGCTTGTTCAATAGGATTTGCTCTCAGACTGGAAACCGAAGGCCAGATATTATTTGCTCTTTCATCTTTTTTGGTTTGGAGAACCCTCATCTGAAGCAGCTTCCTGCACACCAGCAAAAAAAAAAAAACAGTTAGGAACTTTAGTATTTGCTCAGAAAACCCGGATTTAAACATGCAACTTCTTATATTATAGAAAAGAGTATAGAAAAGACACGTTCAAGAGCTATTATAGAGGAATAATAATGAAAAAATCTAAAATTTTACACTTATTTTAATGATTGTGCTGATATAAATAATTACAACCAATACAAATAGAACATTTCTACAATTTCTGGTTGATAAAACTGAAACTGAGGCCAAAAGATGACGAAAAACACAAATGTCTTTTCCATTTTGACATGAGGAGCCTTTGTTCTGGTGCTCAGGCAGTTTGAAAGATTAAAATTGTTTTTATTTTCCAGCAGTTACAGTAAAACGTCAGAAATCTGTCACCTCGCTTTTGAACATTTAATGGCTAAAATGTGCTAATGTCCCACACTATGTTAATATAAAACACTTTTATATTGAAAAATAAATTAAATGTGGCCCAAAAGTCACAGGACACCGTTTGATTTCAGAAACTAAAGGGACGATCGCACATCTGAATACTCCGGCAGCTAATGGGTGAGGGGGCCTGTCTTTTAGGCGGCCATCTTGAAAGCCGCCATCTTGAAAGCCGCCATTTTGGATCAGGGGAAAGTTTTTCTGAAGGGAAGGTGGTCGTGTAGCATATCAAAAAGAGCAGAATTGTCTCAAAAATCAATTTCTACAATCAGATTTTCAGCATCTCTTTTCGGTCAGATACATTTGCGACAAATGCTGGTAGATGTTTTCAGTGTGGTGAACACAAAGATCCTATCAAAAACAGACAAAGTTTTTTACTTCTGAGCCCAACATTTAATTTTCCCTTTTGTTGCTGATATTAAACAGTGTCCTGTAGCTTTTGACTGGCTATGCATTAATAGACGTTTTGTGAAATGGTCTTTTTTGATAAAAAAAAAATGGATGTGCACTCACAAAATCTACATATTAACACAGGCCCATCAAAAGCCTGGTAGTTTTTCTCCCAGGTACAGAACAGGTAAGTTCTGGCTGTCCATTTCTGAGTAACTTTCAGTTCAGTCGGGGCCCCTGTGTAACCTCACAACCCCCAAAAGTTTAAGCAATTTAAATCAAATGTTTATTTTATCGTGTGAAACGAATTAGGGAAGAGAAGTTTAACGAATCTTCCCTTTGATTGAACCTATGTGTACTCTACACAGACTTAGTCCCGTGTCCTAATTATTAATTTATCAAAGTCAAACAAGTTATAGTTGTTACTGTATATATACTCTGATTACTGATTAACCACCATAGACTGCTCATCAAACAGTCCAAACACAAACCAATTATAATCACAAAGCTCTGTGCATTTTGTTTGGACTGATTACTTCCTGGAATAGTTTGATTTAGACACTCACTTCTCGGATCATTTGTTTAATCAAAGGAAAAAGGTTATAACTCCTGGAGAAATGAGGGATTTGAGTCCCGGTTCGGCCTGCCCACCAACGCTTGGCCACTGCCTCCTCCCAGGTGTGAAATGGAATCAAATACGGGATTTATATTTGTCAGAAACGTGGTTAAAAATGGTGGCGGTGGCATTAAAAGGCTTCCAGGGATGAAACGAGTTCACAAAAAATGGACATTTGTGTGAAAAGAAAGAGATTTGAAAATGTAGTAAGAGTGGGAGCAGCCTGTAGGAGCCTCGGTTGGATATCCAACTCCTCCCGCATCCAAGTCGGCCATTTTGATTAGGTCATGTGACAGGCAGCTTTCTGAGGTGGAAACGAAAATTTACTGTCTATACGAAATCGGAAGATAAACGATGTCCTAACCCTAACCCTAACCCTTACCCTGACCCTAACCCCAACCCTAACCCTGACCCTATCCCTAATCCTGACCCTAACCCTGACCCTAACCCTGACCCTAACCCTAAACCTAATCCTAATCCTAATCCTAATCCTAACCCTAAACCTGACCCTAACCCTAACTCTGACCCTGAACCTAACCCTTATTCTGAACCTATCCCTAACCATAGCCCTAACCCTAACACTGACCCTAACCCTGACCCTAACCGTGACTCTAACCCTAACCCAGCTTTTGAGCGTGTTTTTCATGGTTTTAAGCTCTTTTAGCCCTTTTCAGCCAATTTTATGGAATTATGCACTGTAAAAAATGAGGCGCCATTTTATGTTTGTTTTAATCTTTTATTGTTGTCTTTTAATACACAGAAAAGATTTTTAAAGACATTTTAACACAAACAAGGAGATGACTCCTATTTAAACCTGATTTTACTTACCTGGGACTCCTGGGATACCTGTAAAACTTACGGGGAGGGGCCAAGAACCTTGTATCCTAACCCTAACCCTGACAATAGGTCATGATCCCGGATAATTCATCCATCTGACGCCTCCTTTGTCAGATTGATTCACCAGATTTGTCCTGATAAATGCCTCATTTAAACTCTTAGACCTGTGAGAGAGGAGAGGCAAAATGGACACGTTTAACTCATTGGCTGCCAAAGACGTCTATAGACGTCTTTTATGTTTTTCAATGCGAGTGTCTGGGGGACGATCTGCTAAAGCTTGTCCGTAAATATCAGGCTTCTAGACAGAGTATGTAGTAACAAATTGACCCTCTAGGTGGCAGTGCCACTTTTGATGGGAGATGAGCATAGACTGTAGGCAAATAAAAACAAACGCGATGGTTCGCTATGCGAGAAATGTCGCCGGTGAGACGCAAGTCTAGGAAGAACGGAATAAGGTAGAAACACATTTTTTTTTCCTGATGAAAGAAGAGAGTCTACTCTTTCTTTTGGTGTGTTCGGTGTTTACATAGTCATAGCACAAACTATTCTGTGGCTCTTGAAAAATCAGTCAAAATGCTCAAAAAACTCTGCCAGTATGGGACTCTGTTCTGAAAATGGCTGGCAGTCAATGAGTTAATTTCCTAATTCTGTCTCATATTCATTTTACGACCGTCTTGTTGGAATTTCTTTTTTTTTTGGCTTAAACTCACGTTGTTCTCCTCTTTCTGTCCACTCTCCTCTTCCCTCTCCAGCGTGTGCAAAAGGACCCAAAACACAATTATTTCACAAATTGGTGGAGTGTTATTTCAAATATTCTCCCATTTCCTGTTTTTATTCTCTAGCCTGGAGCTTGTGATTGACTGTAATTCTCCTGATTTGACTCACCATGATTCTTTGCCCCCTCAGTTTTAATTAAAACGTTTAAAGGTTTCTTTATGTTTTCAGTTTTTTCTCATCATGTCCTTTAAACTTTTTTAGCTGAAGTTAAATTAAAGCTGTGCGTTCTCTTACAGCTGCTGTCAGTTTGGTCGGAAATTTTCCTCTGAAATTTGAATATTTGAATAATTTATTATAAATAGCTATTGTTCATTCAAAGATGAACCACTTGATTTTGTTCAAATTCTGCCTTTTGCTCAATGTGGCAAATAAATACCAGTTGGGTTTAATCAAATCTAAAAAAACGGGCTCATTTATAAAGAGTGGGGGCTTGTTTCTATGTTAATTTACAGTTTAATTTACAGATGTTTTCCTCTTATGTCATTTCTCACAGATCATTTCTGAGGAGTCTCATTTCCTTCCAGATTTTCTTTTAACATGCTTTTTAACCACCCATCACTAATGGTCATTTCTTCTTCTCTTCCAAACGAAAACCGCTGTGTTATCACCTAATAACCCCCCCTCTTTTGGCCCTCGTGGCCCTTTTGTTCTCAAACTATGAAGAGGATCCAGAGGAAGCCGATTGGTTAAATAGGGGGTTCAGATAAGGGCATTTCCACGGCTTTAAATTTGCATTTCCTGACCTTTCCAGTCGATCTGTGTGAGGAAATAGTTTAAATTCTGATCCGAAACCTCGTTAGTACTCAGCACCATTTCATCAAATCCTCATGGTGTTCTGGTCATTTCCCACCAATAAAATCATTTAAGCGCACATTTTAATATCTTTATTTCCTTTGTCATCCCTTAGACTCTTTTATTTATTTATTTTTTCGACACATTTTTTATTATTTTTTCAGAAATAATACAGTGTGGTACGAATGTACATGTGTATTTTTACACTTTTAAACATAAAAAACAAAACTAAAAACACAGGGTGATTTCAAAAGTATGAAAAAAAAACATCATTGCATAATTAGTGGTACGACAGGTCTCCAACGTTTAGTGAATATGGGTATTTGTAGACTCAGAGAATATGTTATCTGTTCCATTTTCCATCTGATTGTTCTACATTTTAGAGCGAGCTGTTAATAATATATTCAAAAGATATTTTTCAGCTCGTGTGGTAATAGTTGAAGGTGTTACTCCCAATAAGGCAATGTCTGTATTGTATGGGATTTCCTGTTTGAAGATTACTTTTAGGACATCAAAAATATGTTTCCAAACTCTTTTATTTTTTAACATTATGCTGTGCAAAAGAAATAAATATTGGAGGAAACCCGGATAATGTGAGTGACCAGTGGACATGAGACTGGATGGAGGAAAAGCTAATCAAACAATCAATCAATCAAAATCTGGAGTCTGGTGTCATAAAAATAAACCGTGATTTTCCTATTTAGGGCACAAAGACCCAAAGGACCTGGGGAGAGGCAAAATAAAGTGACATATTCATCATTTCAGGCTTCAAATGCAGCATTTGTTTGTTTGTTTTCTCACACTTTTTTGTATAATCACAGAAAATTGTTGAAAGCCGGGCGGTGTGGGTGGGATCCTTCACGTTACGGAGGGGATTTGCACGTCTGTCAGCCTGATTTATTTAAATGAATTCAGCCCGAACCCCAGAGCATGTTTTGATTTGGCTTTTTAAAAAACGGTGACGTGTTTCTGTTTGGTTATTCATTTGTGGCAATCTTATCTACAGAGCGGGACATTAGGAATCTTCTGTCACGTGGTTCTTTTTCCTGTGAATATTTAGGAGGGTTTTATTAAACCAAGCGGGAAATGCATTAAACCTTTTATTCAAATGAAATCATAACAACATTTGGGTCCTTTTTTATGAGGTAAGATGCCAAAACGATGGACCTGTTTGAAACACTGAATTAGTGTTAATAATTGACCAACTCTGCATAAAGTGTCCCTTTGGTGAAAATTAACCCTTTAAAGCCTGATCCAAGAAAAATAGGAAGAAAATTGGATTTTTTTTGCCTGAAGTCTTCCTTTGGCCCCTCAACAACATATGAAGAAAAAAAACGGAAATTATTTTGATCTATATTTAGCTAAGCTAACGCGGTAATTTCGGTCTGTAAAGTTTAACAGACTGTTTATTGGAAGGTAATTGTATTTTTATTTTTTAATCTCTTTTAGCTCTATTATGTTGAGTTCATATGATGCCTTCACTGACCGTTCAAATTAAAAGGATATGAATCATCAGACCATCAATTATCCGAGGAGGCTACATAAAGTGTGTTTGCGGTATCGAGTGTTAGCTTAGCTAAATACAGATCTGTACGATGCTAACGGGGTAATTCCGGTCTGTAAAGTTTAAAAGACTGTTTATTGGAAGGTAATTGTATTTTTATTTTTTATTTTATTTTAGCTCTTACAGTGAGTTCATATGATGCCTTCACTGACCGTTCAAATTAAAGGATATGAACCATCAGACCATCAATTAGCCGGGGACGCTACAAACTATGAAGCAGCTTTGCTAGTTTCCACATTAGTGTCAAAATAAAAGAACCTCCCCACTAAAAGAGTCGAGTAAAGTCTGTGTTATGTCCTAGCTTTATTCAAAGATTCCTGAGTTGTGATCCTCATCAAAAGGGGCTGAAAATCCATCTGTTCATTGGAAGGTAATTGTATTTTAATTGCATTTTTATTTTTTAATCTCTTTCAGCTCTTACAGTGAGTTCATATGATGCCTTCACTGACCGTTCAAATGAAAGGATATGAACCATCAGTCTAAGAGTCAGACCATCTATTAGCCGGGGATGCTACATAAAGTGTGTTGGCGGTATCGAGTGTTAGCATCGTACCGATATATATTTTGCTAAGCTAACACGGTAATTTCGGTCAGTGAAGTTTAAAAGACTGTTTATTGGAAGGAAATTGTATTTTGATTTTTGTATTTCTTTTAGCTCTTACAATTAATTCATATGATGCCTTCACTGACTGTTAAAATTAAAGGATATGAACCATCAGACCATTTATTTATTCTGGGACGCTACAAACTATGAAGCAGCTTTGCTGGTTTCCACATCAGTGTCAAAATAAAAGAAGCTCCCCACTAAAAAAGTCTGTGTTAAGCCAGTGTTATGTCCTAGCTTTATTCAAAGATTCCTGAGTTGTGATCCTCATCAAAAGGGGCTGAAAATCCATCCGTTCATTGGAAGGTAATTGTATTTTAATTGCATTTTTATTTTTTAATCTCTTTTAGCTCTTACAGTGAGTTCATATGATGCCTTCACTGACCGTTCAAATGAAAGGATATGAACCATCAGTCTAAGAGTCAGACCATCTATTAGCCGGGGACGCTACATAAAGTGTGTTGGCGGTATCGAGTGTTAGCATGGTACCGATCTATATTTAGCTAAGCTAACGCAGTAATTTTGGTCTGTAAAGTTTAAAAGACTGTTAATTGGAAGGGAATTGTATCTTTATTTTTTAATATCTTTTAACTCTAACGGTAGTTTCATATGATGCCTTCACTGACCGTTCAAATGAAAGGATATGACTCATCAGATCATCAATTAGCCGGGGACGCTACAAACTATAAAGCAGCTTTGCTAGTTTCCACATTAGTGCTGTCAAAATGGAAGAAGCTCCTCACTAAAAGAGTCTAAGTTAAGTCCTGGTGTTATTCAAACATTCCTGAGTTGTGATCCTCATCAAAAGGGGCTAAAAATCCATCTAAATGCACTCAGCTCGATAAACTGCGGCTACATTAAGTTTGCCCTTTTTGAGAAGCAAAAACATGGCGGCTGATTTCTTTTTATTAGGTCCTGTCATCAGTACGAGACACTGGCTGAGCAGCTGGTTCAACTTCACAGTGAAATCAAGTCAAAGTGTCGACGATTACAGGTCTATTTCATGATTAAATGCTAATATATACACGTGTAGGCGGTTGTCTTCGGTCAAACCGAGCTGTGTGAGTAGATGAGGATTAGAGAGGAGGGCCTGACTTAGATCAAGTGTTCTGTTTACAAAAAGTCACAGAAATAAAGTGTTTTTCTCTGCGTGTTTGTGTCAGAGAAATGGAATATATGAATATCAAAGGGATTAAAGATTGAACAGCGGTTCCATTCAGACCCAGCTGGTAATCACTACCTGCCAAAATAAACTCCCTTCCAAAAAAAAAAAGCCCCGAGAGGCTTAAATCTGCTGAGTCAGAACGTGTAAACCCCCAAAATCGGCCTTTCCGGTCTGAGTCGACGTTAGCCTTGAGTTGCTAGCTGCGGCTAATTGCTAATAATAACACGCCAACATTAATCAAGTCCATCTGGCTGCAGGCTGCAGGAAGCCAAGGATGGATATCCAACTCCCCCCCACATCCAAGTCGACCATTTTGATTAGGTCACCAATAGGAAGATCCCAGGCAAGAAAATCCTAATTGCTTCATGGTCATATAGACGTTAATTTAAAAATAGTGAAATGAATCTTGAAAACACTGAATTAAACTCTATCCATAATATTATGTTAGAATACTGTATGTTAAATAGGTTTGTACAATAAGTCCAAACAAGTTTAACCAAAAAATATTTATTTCTCACAATTATGAAGGCTGGAGGGTTAGGTTTAGGGTTAGGGTCATTAATGTGGGCCACCATAACATCAGTAACAGGTCAGTTTGAAACCAAAGACACTAACCTGTCAAAATTCAGTTCAATTTTGGGGTCTTAGTTTTTATCCTTGTGGTATCGAAAATGCTATCGAGTATTATTTTCCTGAGTGTCTGTATCGAGTTGAAAATGTTAGTATCGTGACAACGCTACACAAAAACAACAAGCTGCCGCAGAGTGTTTTGGCGTTTCGGTGAGTCGAGAAAAGCCAAAAGTTTATGCACAACGTCCCTCGGTCTCAACGGGTTCGACAATCATTATGATACAAAAAAATTGCGCAAAAACAGGATGTATTGAAAATTATTTGGAAAAGCAACATATCCTGTTCCCTGTTTACTGTATTCAAACGAATGGCAGGCTCTTAACCCTTTAAAGCCTGATCCAAGAATAAAACAAAACAGAAAATTACTTTTTTTTGGTTTGAATTCCTTATTTGGCCTTTTCACAAAATGTGTAAAAACAAAAAACAAAAATACATTTTTAATATTAATAATTTATTACTATGCGATAGGTCCAGATTATTTTTTGTGTAGTCTTCTGCCCCCTGTTATCAGGTGAATCTGATTGTGTACAATAGGATTTTGAGCAAAGTTTTTACCATTAAATTATGCAAAAGGAGTCAGACGCAAAACATTTCAGAAACCGTATCTATCAAATATGATACATTTGGCATTACAGGGTTAAAATGTTATCTTTTGCCAATTTCCGAAGAGCGGAGGGATGAATCTAAGAAGACGCAGTAGCAGCAGTTGTCCAGCAGGGGGAGCCCTTTGGGGGGGACGGAGTCCTGGAGGAAACAGGGAAGAAGTCCAGGAGGAGTTTGGGTGGAGGCCATGTTTGTGTCTGAGTGAACATCTGGAGACGCAGACCCAGCTGTTCACAGGAAACTTCACACCAGCCTTTTTACCAAAGCTTTTAGGTGAATAGATCTAATTAGCCTTAATTGTTTTTTTCTTTTTTAGTTGGTTATGTTTAATCCAGTCATTTTTATTTATTTAACTTATATTTCTAACAAGTAATACATTTGCTTGGAATTATATTTTATACTGTTTTATATTTACATATTTTACATATATATATATATATATATATATAAAAAATAAAATTGAAAAAAATAATATGTAAACAGTATATATATATATATATATATATATATATATAAAATTGAAAAAAATTATATAAAAAAATAATATGTAAACAGTAAATATATACTGTTTACATATTGTTTTTTTCAGTTTTATTTCAGTTTTCTATCTTTAGTGTTTTAGTTTCTAAAAGCTGGCGGTGAGGATTTGAATGTTTTAACGAATGGGCACATGGGATTGAATTAGTTTATTCTTCTTGGACTTTTTTAATTTTTAAAGCACCTTGTGTTGAAATTGATTTGCATAAAAACTGTTTAACGAATGAAAACAGATTGATTTTTGTACTCTAACTTTCCCCATTAGCAGCAGCGTGGTCCTTTCCTCTTTTCCAGCCGGAGTTCTTGTGTGTTTTCAGTCTTTTTACACATCATTAAACCAATGACAACTATTTTCTGAGGTGCACTTTAATGACAGGCTTCAGAAAAGCTTTTTTCATGTTCCAGTTTGTCACATCAGGCTGTAATTTTCTGGGTATTTGTTAGAAGGCTGATGAGAGGATATTTAATATTTGCCGAGGATGGCGTGCTCAGACTGAATACGCCATCTTTGGCAAATATTAAATGCCTCAAATTCAATAAAAGAGGAGAAATATGTTTAATACCTCGCATACCTCCAAATAAATTAACTGACCTCCATGTATTTGGGGGGGAATTTCTCAAATCAGGAAATAAAATAAAGAAAAACGACCCGTTACTTCGTCATTTCCTGTAGAGAAAATTTGATAAATCTGCATTTTCGATGAATTTTTCTTTCAAAACAAGCGTTTTTTCTGTTTAAGATGCATCACCTACCCCCCAAAACAATCTGATTAATGGTGTTTTTAACCCTATAATGCCAAATGTATCATATTTGATAGATACGGTTTCTGAAATGTTTTGCGTCTGACACCTTTTGCATAATTTAACGGTAAAAACTTTGCTCAAAATCCTATTGTACACAATCAGATACACCTGATAACAGGGGGCAGAAGACTACAAGAAAAAATAATCTTGACTTATCGTATAGTAAGAAATTATTGATATTAAGAATATATTTTTGTTTTTTCTTTTTACATATTGTGTTAAAAGGCCAAATAAAGACTTCAAACCCCAAAAAAAGTAATTTTCTGTTTTGTTTTATTTTTGGATCGGGCTTTAAAGGGTTAAGGCAGAGGAGGGTTTCCTCTTCTCTCCTGGTTACGATCTGAGAACGGATGTTTTTCTCTATTTCTTCAGTCGGGTTTTCCTGTTTCGTGAACCTTACACACAGAATAGCTGAAGCATCATCCATCCACAGTAAAGTCTGCTACTACTCTTTAGATGCCACTGACCATTTTATCTGACTATTGTGGGCGTAAATCCATTTTCATGCTGTTTCCTGTTTGTTTTTTGCGTTTTCCTCTTTTTCAGGCGTTTCTGCTCTTAAACTTTGACGCCTTCCTTCTTCCTTCCTTCCATCCTTTTATCTCACAAACTTTCTCTTCTGTTTCTGCTCTGAATTGTGAACGCAGCTAACCCATCTTTAGTCTTTAGCTGACCAGAAACGGCCCCCATCTTTAGTCTTTAGACTTCAGATTCTTTCGCGGAGCAGCTCTGTAATCCTCCCCTATTTTTGAATTTATCACTTATTACTATTTTTGAGTAAAAAATATCGTTGTGTAGTCTGTTATAAAGTGTATCTGATTGTGTACATCCATCCATCCATCCATTATGGGTACCCCTTATGCCCTAATGGAGTCGGGGGGGCGGAGCCTATCCCAGTAGCCAATGGGGAGAGGCGGGGTCCCCCTGGACGGTCCCCAGTCCATCACAGGGACACACAGAGACACACAAGGACCAACAACCACACACACTCACACTAAGGGCAGTTTGGAGTCCAACAACCTAACATGCAGGTTTTTGGAGGGTGGGAGGAAGCCGGAGAACCCGGAGAGAACCCACAGACACAGGAGAACATGCAGACTCCACCCAGAAAGGTCCTGGTTCCCCCGGGACTAGAACCCAGAACCCTCTGGTCCTGGTTCCCCCGGGGACTCCAACCCAGA